GAAAGGAGAAGAGAAGAGACTTGTTCTGCTGAAGGCGTAAGACGAACTGATTTGGTATTTTATGAAAAATGAAAAACTGTTCTACAAGGAAGGAATAGAGAGGGTAGTAGATACGAGTAGGGAAGCATTAAAATATGGAAACTTTAAGATTAGAAATACCAAGAAATTGATGGCCGGTCAACCACCGAAGAAACCGATTGTAAAAATGTAATTAGGAAGGAATGAAAGGTACAGACGTCATGCGGTTAGTACACAAAAGATGAAATGTTACAGGGATTATAGGAAAGTACAGTAATAGAGTTATTTAAATAGATAAGCAAGATACAATAGATTATTTACAAAAGGAAGGAATTTTTATAGACACTAATCGAAAATAGAAAAGAAATATTTTAGAAAGGTATTTACAATATATAAACAAAATGAAACAATTTTCAAACATGTGGTGGATATCGCCACAGTAGTATAGCTATAGGGATTCTGTGACAGTTCGATGGCCTGTCCATCCTCTAATGGCACCTTGGATGTTATTTTTCGTGCGGAAGACCGAAACGTCTTGCCAAAAATTTGTGTTTTGTTTGACCTCTAAGACACTTTGGAGGTGATTCTTCAGCTGAAGAAGTTCTTAAGAGCCTCTGGATTGTCGTCATAGTGGGCGGAGCCTATTCGAATTTGAATTTCGCGCGCGTTTGAAGGTCAGTGCAGTGTTTGCTCAACAATACTTTGTGACGTAATTGAACTTTGGTCTTTTGNTAAACGTATCCCTACTTCTTTCCCTCTCTCCACTAAATAAATTATTTTCAAAATCCTCATTCTTTCAATTATAAATTCAGCAATACATGTATTAATGCTTACACTCACTGACATCGTCAAGAGCAAATAACATCATGTGACCAGTAACAGATTTAACAGTTACACGTTTACGAACGATGACGTTTCGTCACTTACCTACTCCTCTGTGCTAGAATCGGTTATCTTACCCTACTACAGTGCTTCGCATCAAATGATGATGTGTCAATTACTAATTAACTGGCTAACAGATAATAAGTTCGTAGCAAAGTTTGGTTTTCGCTTCAGCATGGTAGTATTATACCCTCGAGCAGCGATTGGGCAAGTCCAATCCATATAGTGTCCAAAAAGCATGGTGGTTGGCGCTCAACCGGTGATTATCGCTGCCTAAATAAACAGACAGTTACCCAATCCCATTAATCGATGACTTACTACACCGTTGTCATGGTTGCTCAACATTCTCTTCCATTAACCTTGTGAAAGCTTACTATCAAATTTTGGTGGCTGACGGGGATATCTTCAAGACTGCTATCACAACTCCATTTGACCTGTTTTGTTTTGCGTGATGCCTCCTGGCCTCAAAACTACTACCCAAACCTTCCAACGTCACATGGATAACATTTCTCGCAACGTAGACTTTGCCTCATGTTTCATCGAAGACTTAATTGTTTTCTCCAAATCCCCCGAAGAGCATGAGCATCGGAGAAGGTGGAAGCCGTCCTGAAATTTCCAACCCCTGAGACTACTTATGAAATCCGACGCTTTTTTGGTAAGCTTAATTATTACCTTCGCTGAATCCCAAGAGCCTCTACCATTCAGGCACCTCTCAATGGGCTGTTGAAGAATGCCAAGAAGCACGACAAGACCAAAATTAATTGGGCGCCTTAGCTAAAAACTGCCCTGAAACAGTGCAAGTGAAGCATATCATCAGCATTTGTCACTGTGTTTTTTGTCACCTTCAGCATCTATCGCACCATATACAGACACTTCCGACCAAGCCATTGGTACTTCATTAGAGCAATTCGAAGATGGTATCTGGAAACCTCTTGGTTTTTGCTCTACAAAATTAAGCCCTACTGAAAACTGTTACAGTACCTACGACAGAGACTTCCTTGCTATCTTTTCCAGCATCAAATTCTTTCGCCACATTCTGGAACGTCGCTCATTCGTGATCCAGACTGATCATCGCCCCTTAGTGTACACTTTTGATTAGAAAGTAGAAAAAGAGTCCCCTCGACAGCTCAATTAGCTCAGCTTCATCTCTGAATTCATCATTGAGATTGCTTATATAGAGGGCGAAGAAAGTGTTGTTGCGGAATACCTGTCGAGAGTTAACGCCATAAACATGCCCACAGCACTAGATTTTCAGACGATTGAAGATGGCCAACAACTCGATCAAAAGCTTCAGGATTTATTAAACGACGACCGTACCCTAAAACTTCGACTTCTTAATCATCAAGATCATAATATTTACTGTAACATCTCCACTGGCACTATTCGATCGTACTAATCTGAACCTCTTTCAAGCTTTCAACGTCTTTCACGGTCCTTCTCATCCCAGTGGCCGCACCACAGCTCGTCAATTAAAGGAGAAGTTCGTTTGGCTTGGGATCAAACGTAATATCCTCCAATGGTCCACGGAGTGCTTTGCTTGCCAGCGCTGTAAAGTCTAAAGACACAACCGCATTGGTTCGCGACACATCGACGTCCCAGACAATCGCTTTGATCACGTCCATTTGGATATCGTAGAACTTCCAGGGAGAGGTCAACGGTTTTCGTTATTATCTGAATATGATAGACCGTTTCTCTCGTTGTGCCTCTACCAAACATTGAAGCCGACGCCATTGCATCTTCCTTTTTCACCCATTGGGTCGCGCAGTCTAGTACCCCTCTCACGATTACCACCGACCAGTGTACTAAGTTTGAGTCAGGACTGATCAAGTCTCTTACGCACATGGTTGGTGCTCAACGTTTACACACTACATCATACCATCCTCAGTCAAATGGACTTATTAATTTACACAGAACTCTTAATGCCGCCTTAATGTATGGTGCTCTTAGAAAATGACAACTCCTGTTACCTACAGTTCTTTTTGGTCTTCGCACCTGTTTCAAGAATGATCTCAATGCATCACCAGCCCAAAACTTGTTTGGAACAGAGCTTCGTATTCCTGGCGAGTTCTTCTGGGATGTTCTCACGTTTTTTTCCGAGTTAACGCTGTTAAACATCCCTTAGACCCGCCTTATTCTGGTCCGCACAAGACTATTAGATGGATAGATGGCCGTGTCTTCATCATTGACATCAACGAGATGGAGAAAATCATATCCATCAATAGTTTGAAGCCTGCCTTCGCTGTAATCTCTGCCATTCTAACCTTCTGGGCAAACCACTTCGCCCTTACGTCACTATGAAGAAAGTATCGTTTTCTTCACTTTTGGGTCAGGAAACTGGAGAGAGAGTCCATGTGGCGGTCTCGACTTCCCGCTATCATAGACCTTCGGATAAAGTCGCCAGCGCAGACACTGGTTCCGCGTGTCGAGTCGGTGGCCACTTCCTCGAAGGTCTATGAGATGTTTTCGCCAGATCTGTGACCACTAGACGAGGTTGAGCGCGAATTCGAACCTGTCACTAAATTTATTCAATTTCTATAGACCCTAATCGAAAATAGAAAAGAAATATTTTAGAAAGGTATTTACAATATGTACACAAAGTGAAACAATTTTCAAACATGTGGTGGATTTCCAGTGATGAAGTCACGGAAATCCCACTTGTAACCGGTCCGGAAATCGAACCCGCCGTCCTGACCGCGTCGTTCGCGGCGGTGGCGGCTGTGGTAGTACCGGAAGTGATTGCGCGACAGGTACTTGCGATTGTTCTGGCACAAGTGGTTTGGGTGGCGCATCTGGAATGGCTGGAGTATGCTGAAACTCGATTATCCTGTCATCGTCGGCATCGATGTTGGCGTCGTCGTCCAAATCGGCTATGACGTATGCCGGTTTAAGTCGGTTGATAGAGACTTTGACCTCTTTGTTCCGAACGTTGACCACGAATGCTTTCTCTCCTCGGGAAACAACCTTGTATGGACCGTCATAGGGATGTTGGAGCGGTCCTTTTGGTCCATCGTGACGTACAAAGACGTGGCTTGCAGTAGCGAGGCCCTTGAACACGAAGGGTGCTTTCTCGCCGTGTCTCGTTCCATCCACAGGTCGAAACTGCTGCACATGTAACCTCAAGTTCTGCACAAAGTCTGATGTTGTATTAGGTCCTGTTGTCTGACCCAGAAATTCGCCCGGGAGTCGTAATGGTTCACCGTATACCATCTCTGCAGCTGTAGCCTGTAGCTCGTCCTTCCAAGCCGAACGTATCCCTAACATTACTGTTGGTAGGGTTTCGGTCTATTTGGAAGGATGGTGATACTTGATTGCGGCCTTCAGCTGCCGGTGAAGCTTTTCGACCATCCCATTTGCTTCGGGATGGTATGCGGTTGTTTTGAGATGAGTCGTACCTGTCAAGGCGTTCAGTTCCCTGAACAGGTGCGACTCAAACTGCCGACCCTGGTCCGTTGTAACTCGTAACGGCGTCCCGAAGCGCGCTATCCAGTGGTGGTAGAAGTTCCTGGCAACCGTGGCGGCTTCTTGGGATAGCTTCTGGCCAGCGGGAGAATCGGTCCACACACGTCAGAAGATATCGATAGCCATTGCAGTAGGGCATTACTACGATGTCGACATGGACATGTTCGAAACGACTGGACGGTGGTGCAAAGGTTCCTGGTACTGTCGATACGTGTCGAGTTACTTTGAATTTTTGACAATCCACGCTATTTCTGGCTATCTCCCGACAGTCTCTCTTGATAAATAGCGGTCAGAAACCAGTTTAGCCGATGCGTTGGTTCTGGGATGTGAAAAGCTATGGATTTTGTCGAAGACAGTTCGGCGGAACTTGAGGGGGACGAAAGGACGCGCTTTTCACGTGGAAACATCGCAAACCAGCGAATAGTTTGTGCCTCGAATTTTAATTAATTTTAATTGTAGCGGATGTCGGTGGAGAACTGGCTGATAAAATCCAGGTACCTGAACTGTCAAGGGCTGCATACTCCATTCTTCTTTTCCAAAGCGTAAGTGATCGGTTTGTGATTCGTATAAATGATGAACGTTCTAGCCTCTACCATGTGGCGAAATTGCTTCACGGCGTCGTAGATGGCTAGGAGTTCCCTGTCATAAGCGGCCTATTTCCTCTCCGCCGATTTTAATTTCCTGGAAAACAAGGATAGCGACTGCCAAGTACCATCGATGAGCTGTTGAAGCACTCCTCCAATTGCAGAATTTGACGCATCGCAGAAGATAGCGAAGCTAGAAGTGAGCGAATGGGAATAGCTCATTGTAGAAGGTGACAAGGCTGTCGGAAACAGTCGTTTGGTTTCGGTTCGAAGTTGGAGAGTGTCGAAATGTTAGGGTTAGCATGACCTGGCACTGAGGGCTGGAGTTTTGCCGCCTATGAGATTGCAGCCTCAGGGAGAGAAGGTAAACGGGTTTCATTAAAAATTTGGGTTTTTCTGGCGAACCCGGGGTAGTTTAGTGCGGAGCGAAGTATCCGCATGTAGATGTCTCGCAGAGGAACTTAATGCGTCAATGATGATAGTATCGGCGGAAGGTGAACATTTTTTGTGACGAAAATGTCAACGATGCCAGAGAGTTGAAGGCGGGAGGCAGGGAGGGATGTGGTGTCAGAGGGTGCTTCAACTGTGAGATTGAAGTCAAAAATTTTGGCAAGAAGGAAAGTGCCTTTACTGTTGGTTTGTCAACATCCTCAAGAGACATGTTTAGTGTTGAAATCGCCTGCGACAATAGCGGGAACGCCTAGGGGGGGGGTAGAAGGGGGACTTCAGAAAGGTCTTTGTCCAAAGGATGGGAGGAGAGAGAGATAATCCTAAGAGTGCCGGAAGTTAGCGAAACTTCGATGCCGACGAGTTTGAGGTCAAAGAGATAGGCCTATGCTTTAAAGAATTCCTAGCAAGAATGGCGACACCGTCGGCACTGTCGTGTTCACGTCTCTTCTGTAGGATGAGAAATTTGAAACGAAAAGTTTGATTTGATTTGATTTGATAGGTGAGTTTCGGTGATGCAAGCAACACCGACTGACTTATGCTCGAGGAAGTACTCGAAATCGGGCGATTTACTTGTAATGTTTTGCGCATTCCAGGTAACTATGTGAAGATTATGTGGCTGGGTAACATTTAGCCACTAGAAATAATAACTTCTTCGGGGTGGGTTATTCAAAAAATTTATTGTTTAATGGGAAGGAGTGACCTCTTCGAACCCGAGCATTCAATTATAATTCGTGTCTCGCTCTCGAGATCACTATGTAGATGTTTAGAGTGATGTGCTAACATCAGTATCCCAAGAAGTTACCTTACTTACAGATTAAATGAACAATGATCAAAGAAAAACACCTTCGTAGAATTTAAAATGAAGAAAACAAACTTTATTATTATATTGCACTACTGTTTTACAAGCATAACTTAGGCCTTAACTGAGTTCAAACACAACTATGATAACTATATTAACGCAAAACACTTAACGTAAACTTTAATAAACTTATATTTTTAAAACTGCTCCGGCGGGGTCATGAACAATAGGTCGATTATAAGCCCATCAAACACATTGGAAGCTCCAGACCAACTTGCCAAACTCTTAATGACTGAAATGTCTATACCCTTCTTTAAAGCCGCTGAAGTGGCTGCGTGTCTAATACTGTGTGGGGCAAAGTCTGATGTTATACCACACTCGACCAAAAAATCCCGGATCCACCTGCTCAACGAATCTTTGTTAGTTGTGTGGTACGGCTTTCTTGTGGTAAGGATAAGCTCTGGATTATCCCCTCCTATGTTCTCAGTCACCTTGAGATACCATTTTAAAACAGTAGCCACACAAATTTTTGGATTATCGCGAAAATAGGGCAGTAATAACTGTTAAAATTACTATCAAAGTAATATTCTTATTTCTTTTTATATACTAATAATGCCATCTGTTAACAACTACTTGCGTCTCTTGTAATTTGTCTATTTACTCTGTATTAAGAAAATAAAAGTTCAGTCTTTGAACAACCTCACACCGTGCTTCAACAGGTTATGGGCCCAGTCCCACATTTTCTAAATTTTTTAAAGTTATTCTGTTCAATTGTGTCCTAAAAGTAAATTATGTCGACGTCGGGATACCTAGTCAATGTGCCAAAACTAAAAGGTCGCGAGAATTATGACGATTGGGCATTCGCGACAAGTAATTTTTTGCTACTCGAAGGAATTGACTTGGAGAACCTGCCAGCGGAAATCAGTGAAGCTGAGAACAAAAAAGCCAAAGCCAAACTCGTGATGACTATTGACTCTTCATTATACGCGCATATTAAAAGTGAGACAACAGTAAGAGGTGTATGGAATAAATTGAAACAATTGTTCGATGACACAGGATATCAACGAAAAATCAGTTTGCTTCGAACGTTAATTTCAATTCGCCTTGAAGACTGTGAATCCATGACAAGCTACGTATCTCAAATAGTTGTTACGGCGCAGAAATTGAAGGGAACAGGTTTTGAAATCACAGATTAGTGGATCGGGTCGTTACTCTTAGCGGGACTCTCAGATAAGTTTTCACCAATTATAATGGCGATCGAGCATTCTGGAATCGCCATTAGCGCTGACGTCATCAAGACAAAATTGCTCGACATGTATGAGGATGTTGGCACTATTGAAAAAGACTCTGCATTTTGGTCAAAACAACAGCGGTGGAAAAGTGGCAACACTAACCGCGGTGTCAAACCGCAAACGTCAAAGTCAAATAGTGACAGTGCAAATGCAAGTAAAAACTGCAGCAAAGAAATAAAATGCTATAATTGCAAGAAAATAGGCCATTTTAAGAATAAATGTCCCAAACTAAAAACCAAGAGGACCTTAAATGCTTTTAGTGCGGCATTTTTCAACGGAAATTTTAGTAAAGAAGACTGGTACGTCGATTCGGGTGCAAGCGCACACATGACGGCAAATCGAGATTGTTTACTGCTAAATAGACCCGTGCGTGTAAACAAAGAAATAGTGGTCGCAAATCAAATGACTGTACCCGTTGTAAGTGTTGGTGAAACACAGATAACGACGAAAGTGAATGGATCTCAGCATGATGTCATTGTGAATAATGTTTTGTACATACCGAAGCTCACAACAAACTTATTATCAGTAAGCCAATTAATAGCAAAGGGCAACAAAGTATCGTTCAAAAAGGATGTTTGTTTGATATATAACCAAGTAAATGAGCTTATAGGAGTTGCAAACTTAACAAACGGTGTGTACAAGCTACAAATACAAAGATCAGAGAGCGCATTATCGGCCATGATAATGTGGCATAGAAGACTAGGACATGTAAACAGTAAGTCTCTAGAAAAGATGAAAGAAGGTGCCGTGAAAGGGGTTACTTTTGACAAGAAGGCAGATATTCAGATCCATAACTGTGAAGTGTGCTGCGAGGGGAAACAGGCTCGTTTCCCTTTCCCATCTGCTAATCATAGGAGTGATATACTGCTAGAAGTAATACACTCAGATTTATGCGGGCCGATGGAGATCAAATCGATTGGTCAAGCCAAGTACTTTCTTCTGTTCGTAGATGACGCCAGCAGAATGACGTATGTTTATTTCTTAAAGGAGAAGAACCAGGTACTCCAACATTTCAAAGAATTTAGAGTTTTGGTGGAAAATCAAACGGGAAACAAGATAAAAGTATTGAGAACTGACAATGGAGGTGAGTTTTGTTCACAAGAGATGGAACGTTTCTTAAAACAAACAGGAATCATCCATCAGAAGACAAATCCTCACACTCCACAACAGAATGGACTCTCAGAAAGGTTCAACAGAACTGTAGTTGAACGGGCTAGATGTTTACTGTTTGAATCAGATCTAGAGAAAAGTTTTTGGGGTGAAGCGGTTAATACTGCAGTATACCTAATGAATAGAACGCCAGCCGCCAGTTTAGGCATGATGACACCTTTTGAGAAGTGGACAGGCAGGAAGCCAGATCTGAACCATGTCAGAATATTTGGAAGTCAAGTAATGGTGCATGTTCCCAAAGTGAAAAGACAAAAATGGGATAAGAAGGCTGATAAATTAATTCTAGTTGGTTATCCTGATAACGTGAAAGGTTACAGATTATATAACCCAAAAACTAGGAAGATTACTACGAGCAGGGATGTCATTATAATAGAGAAAGAATACTCCGACAAAGCTCAGGTAGTAGTAAATAATGAAGAAAAAACATCTGAAAATAGAGAAGAAATGTTAGAGGAAGCTGAAAACTCAGAAAAAGAGACAAGCGAGTCAGAAAATTCTGCGATAGAT